TTCCCTACATCATCATCATGCTTTAAAGTTTTCCTACAGATGGAGGAAGCAAAAAAATCAAGAAAGAAATATAACATCAAGAATCCTGCGAATTCTCCTTATCTGGTCATTATATTTTACCCAAGCATGATAATATTATTAACTTTTATTATCCGTTTTTATCCACAGCATTATCAAACATGATTAATTCTTCCTTTGCCAGAAATTAACTGAAGGGAAGTTGTAGGATTCGATCCTGTTTATTTGAAGAAAGCTACACTGCACGGCTTAGTTCTAAGGGAAGCGATTACCGCAAAGCAAGAATCATCTAGTTCTGGACATATATTTACCAGTAAATCTAGGATATTACAGGTGAATCCCCTCCTGAGTACACAAACACATGATTACTAAGCACAGGAAACGAGTTAAAAGGTGTTGATGATGGAAAAATGAGTTATTGTCTGAATTATGATATAAACGACAGCGAGAGAGTTTTGTATATTGATGTAGGCAGAAGATAATACTGAAAGGCTAATAAAAATTGAAAATTCTTGCAATTAAACAATAATTTTTCATAATAAGACAGACACGGATATACCATAAATAGATAACATAAACGGTCTAATATATATTTTTATGGATTAGTGAACATGATAAAGCTCAAAAAGAGAGATATGGTTGTACTGGATAACATAGTGACAATAAAAAACTATAATTTTGGATTTGATTTTTAAATCAAACTCAAATTTTTTTTAAAACATTTACAAAACTAATTTTTATTGGATTTCTTCGAATCAATTTTGTTATTTTTACTTGATTTTTCTGGATTTTTATGTTTAGTTTTGGATTTTCTTTGCCTTTTCTCTTTGTTTAGGGATTTTTACCTTATGAAGATTGGTTTATGATATATTTAAGTAATTATAAGCATTTTAATTTACAACCCTTTTTGTTTATAAGATGATGATAATTTGACATTAACTAATGATGTTAAGAAATAAAGGAAAAATGAAATTAAATATAAAATGTACGTGATGGTTTCATTTGAAACAGAGTCTGAGAGAAAAGCTTCCCACATAGCTTGGCCTTCTTTCTTCTCCACCATTGGGATGGGTCCATATCAGTCTGTGCTGTCAACTAGTTACCGCCCATCAGTCAAGGAAGAAGGATGTAAGCAGAGAGAAAGATGAGAATTGCAGAATTGAAGTCACGTCTGATCTGTATAAAACTATGAACACCTTCTTTCAATACCCAACCCCAAATATTTTATCAGTTGGAGAGAGTGGAATCTGATAACCATTCCCTGAACATCAAATTCATTGATCCTTCTTCACCAGGAGCTTGAACATATGAACAAATTCAGTTCATGGAATTCGAGGACGAAATTATTATTACAATTCAAAGCTAAATGCAAAATCTGACTATATATATATATATATATATATGGAGAGAGAGAGAGAGAGAGAGACCAACAAATACAGAAAATTTTAGTTAACTACTTAAATACGTTTCAGCACAGTGATTAGATCTCTCTGGGCAACAAAATAGCATGTAAGCAAGATGAAGGAGCATATAACTCGAGCTCATAAGCGAAAGTTGAAGTCATATTTGAAATAAACATGTAATCAATTGAGAAAAGCGAAAGAAGAAACCTAAGGATCATGGGAGAAAAAAACTGATTGAGGATTACCTCTAAGAAATGAAGATGTCGAGATAGATTATGGTAAATCTAAGTTCCAAGAAATAGAAGATCGTCCATGCTAATACTAAGGATTATGGTTCTTTGGCGAACAATCTTTGCAACAGAGCAGAAGACAAGAATGAAGTGTGCTTAAAACAGTTAACAGGATCATTGGAAATCAAGGATACAAGTATCTAGAATAGGTTACTTCATTTTGGAATTCCCTTCATGATTTGAAGAAATACGTATGATTTGCCATTATCATCTTATGTCAAGTTTATCAGAAGAAGAATATCTGTGGAATGAAAGCTAGCACTCGATCCCATCAGAAGTCCTTATTGAAATGATCTTCAGTTCAGCTGCGCACTCCAGCGACTGTTACACTGTATTTCTTTCTAAAAATTAAAATAATATTATTTTAATAAAAAAAAAGTTTACAACATTATTTTTATCTTGAACTGGTTTACATCCTGGATTATCCGATTTCCGGATCAAATTTCGAGATCAATACAGGGTTTAAAACTATAATATATATTATAAAAATAATAAATTTTAAAAAATAAAGTGAGTCAAAGAACACTCACTCAAAATCTCGAGCGATCAAATTAAATGAAATTGAATACCTTAAATTATCATCCATCATGAATAATGTTAAAAAGCCCTCAAATTAAAAAAAAAAAACTCATTAGACACGAAAATATCATTTATTTAATAATTATTTACAGCATTTGCCACTATATTGATTTCAATTAATTATTGGGTGACTTGTTTGGGTTTCTATTTTCATCCTAATACTAAGATATTTCAAATTTCAAATCCTATACTACATTCAATTCCAAAATCACCACATATGAATCATTTCAAAGGAAAATATGATTTTGGAATTGAATGTAAAATAAATTTGAATGATTCATATCAATTTTTTTAAAATAAACCTAAATTTGTAGGAAACTAAGAACAAGTAAGAGATCATACATTATTCAAACATGATTAACAATAGTTAAACTGAATTTATAACTATTTATTCTAATATTATAGATCTTGTCTAATAGGTCAATTTAGTTGTATTTTGATCTAAAATTTGGCTGGGAAAAATGTAAAATTAAATATTATTTATTTTTTATTTAATAGTTGAACATTATTTTTTTTTTGTAAGATTAGTTTTGTGGTTATACATTAATGTGTTACTTTTTGTCATTTATTTTTAGTATTTTACATCGAATAATTAATTTTATTTGAAAAAGCTACTAATACGTGCTCTTTACATACTAATACATGGAGGGCATTCACATCATTTGGATGGCATATGATACACTTCTTGGTCGCCAAACTTGCCATTGCATCGTGTTTTTGGAAGTGTTGTTACATTTTCTTCCTCGTGGTATGACAGGTGATGGTGAAAGATTGATAGTTTGTTGCTAGTGGTCGTCTCTTTTTCCTTTTATTTTTTCTCTTTTATCCAAAAATATACATGGTAGTCCTTTTTGTTTTTGATATTGCAATTTTGATCCGTACTCTTTAGATCTATGATTTTTGTTTCAAGTCTTTTAATAAAAAATTTATTTGTTTTCAATTTAGTCCTTCAATTATAATTTTTCATATATTATTTCCTCTAATTCAATCTTTATTTTTAATTTTTCTCCCTGGTCTTGTCGTTGAAGTTTTATTAGTTTTTAATTTTATTTTTCAATCACAATTTATGTTGTATTATTTATTCTAATTTAACCCTCATTCTCCTGTGTTTATTTCTTTTTATTAAAGTTACTTTTCTTTTTAATCTAACCCTCCAATAAAAAAAATTTAGTTGCCCTTTAATTCATTTTTTATTTCAATTTCTACGCTCATTCTTTTAATTATGATTTTTTTTATTGTAGATCATTTTATTTAATTGATTTTTTTTTCTTGACTTCATCTTTTAATGTTTGATTTGTTAGAGTTTAAAAAGTTATCAATATCTTTTTTTACTCATTTTCTTTTTTAATTTAATTGTTTGACATTATATTTTTTTTATAATAAATTGGCTTTGTGGTTATTGTTTTTTCTATCATGTTATTATCTAATATGTCAATTTAGTTATATGTTGATCTACAATTAATTATATGTTGATCTATAATTTGGCAGTGCAAAATTTAAAATTAAATATTATTCAATTTTATTATTTATTTTTTTATTTAATTGTTCGATATTATGTTGTTTTTTAAGATTAGTTTTGTGGTTATCATCAATTTTTTTTAATGTTTTACATTGAATAATTATTTTTTTATGGATGATATTTTGATCGTTTTACATTAAATTATTAATTTTTTATTTTAAAAAGTTATTGACGCATGCTCTTTACATGCCAACGCGTGCATGGAGGACATCCATGTCGTTTTGGATGGCCATGAAACTTTTTTTGGTGGCCAAACTTGCCTTTGTGTTTTGTTGTTTGAAGCATTGTTACATTCTACATTCTCTTTTTCATGGTGCAACAGATAATTGTGGATAATTAGTAGTTTGTCGTCAATGGTCATCTCCTTTTTCTTTTATTTTTTGTCTTCTATCCAAAATAATACACATTACTTCTCTTTTTTTATATTTTAATTTTGATTTTTATTCTTTTGATCTACTTTTTTATAGAGCTTTTAATATAAGTTTTATTTGTTTTCAATTTAGTTCTTTAATTACAATTTGTTATATATTTTTTCTTTCCATTCACTCCTTATTTTTTAAAATGTTTTCCTTAGTCTTTTGGTTGAAGTTTTATTGGTTTTCAATTTTATCTTTTAATCAAAGTTTATGGTATATTTTTTTTTTTCAATTTGGCCTTTATTCTCTTGATTTTCTTTCTTTTTGTTAAAGTTGTTTTTCCTTTCAATTTAACTCTTCAATCAAAGAAATTTGGTTGCTCTTTAATTTATTTTTTACATCAATTTTCACCCTTATCCTTTTAACTATGATTTTTTTTTTGTGTGTTTTAGATCATTTTTTTAATTGATTTTTTTTCTTAACTTTATCTTTCAATCAATGTTTGATTTGTTAGGGTATGAAAAGTTAATGCAAGTCAACATTCTTTTTTTTTTCTCATTTTTTTAATTTAATTGTTTGATATTATGTTTTTTTTTAACAAATTGATTTTGTAGTTATTATCAATTTCTTTTATATCATGTTATCCTTGTCTTAAGTTTTAAGTCATGAGATTTGCTAGTTTTTTTTTTTGGAATTAAGGTTTTTTTTTAATTATGTGCATTGTTTTTTCAATTATTTTGATTCATTTATAAAATAAAAATATTTATTTTTAGATAATATTCATAACCTTTGCACCATTGTGTAATATATTTTTCCTTTCTTTTATTCATTTAGTTTAATATATATTTATTTTTATTATCGTTTGATTTGATAAATACAACTAAATAAATATTCCCGATTCATGTTTCATGAACAAATCCCTTGATCCATATTTATGTCTTAATTTTTTCAGTAATGCTTTTAGTTATTGTTATTAATTTTTTCAGTTATGTTTCAGTTATTGTTAATGTTATTGATTGTGTAACCCTAAAACAAGCATAAAAGGAAGGATACATGGCTCGTGGAATATGACAGAGAGCTCAAAATCTTTGGCCTTAAGAGAAGCATCCTCCTCAACGTACACTGTGAAACACTAACTTGTCAGGCTTAAGATCTCTATGCATGAGGCCAAGTGAATGACAAACCTCACAAACGTACGATAACAAGGTTTTGAAAAAACACCTGGACAATGGAAAGAAACAAAGTGAATGAACACATGAAAACCAAGATGAAAATGAAAATTTCATTCCTTCTGTAACACTAAAGCAAGCATAAAAGGTACGATACATGGCTTGAAGAATATGGTTTCTTTCCGATCCTTATTAAATAAGAGGTTTGCCTTCTTTCCCCATCTGCCTACAAAAGGATCACCGAGTAATAAGAAGCCGATCTAATTCTCATATAAATTAAAAACTTCTCCTACAAACAGAGAGAGGAATAAAAACATGATGCTTACCCGTAATCCAATAGCCGAGTCATCTCCTACCCAAACTCTAGGAAGGGACGGAGGACATCCTTGGCTTCAGGGTGCTCCCACTCCACTGAATCCCACCACTGTTTTGGTTTTATATTTATGAATTTAAGACAAGGGGGAGGAGATGGCTGGCCATTTCCAAGCAATGGAAAACAAATTGGAACCCTCTTTAGCTTCTGACATTCCCATAAGCCAATTTCTTCGAGTGAATCACAGATAATTTTTGCACTGCAAATGCTTTTTAGTTCTGGTAATTTATACAATCTCATAATTCTTAACTTCGGGAACGGGAACTTGAATTCGGTGCTGCTGCTGCTGCTTTCTTCACCCATTACCCCTTCTGCATCTAATCTTGTTCCTATTATCTTCTCCAATTTCTCACATTCTTCTACTATAATCTCTTCCAGGTTTACGAGGTTTGGCAGCAAGATAATAGGAAATAGCTTTTTCATACTTCTACATCGATAACAATTGAACATTCTGAGACCTGAAAATATACCCTTATAAGATGGAGCGGGGCAGAACCAAAAAGATGAAACCAAGCTTTCCATGCTGTTACAACCCTTGATTTGGATGACCTCCAGTTCAGTTGCATACATTATTAGAGTGGAGACATTGCATAAACTTTTTGCATCATGACAATTAGAAATCATCAGTTGTCGAATGTCCTTCGGGAACATGACCTGAAGATATCCATCTCTGTTGATACTCAAATCACCCAACGAAACAATTTTATTTGTAGCATACCTTCTTAAATCACCAGCACTTCCTACAACAATTCTGTATTTTGTTAGTGATTGGGTCTCATCCCGAGATTTGAGATACTCCACAAAGTCAGAGTAACCTTCAAAATGGCATTCCAAAGTTTCCAACTTCCTCAAGCATCCTACTTCCTTTCCTTCAACTGTTATTGGTCTGTATCGACTAGATCCACCTTGGATAGGAAACGACTCCTCTAATACAAAGACTTGCAGGTGAGAGAGTTTAGGTAATATCCCACTAGGAAACTTGTTTTCACCCCACCTATTCATTCTAAGATACTTCAAGTTGGATAGAAATTCCATGCCTTGAGGCATCTTTTTAAGTTCACCGGTTTTAGAGAGATCTAACCTCTTCAGTGCCCTGAGCTTTTTCAATGATGGTACATGGCTTAACCTATCACAACCTTCTAGTAATAATGCAGTGAGACACACCAAATCAGAAACAGAAGCAGGTAGCTTTTCAATAATTGTATGAGATAGATCAAGAACCTTTAACCCATGCAATTGCTCGAACAAAGAACCTGCCACATATTGCAAGGATGTATTATTGTGTAATAATAGAGTTGAAAGACTGGGACACCTTGGTGAATGGCAGGAACGAGTTTCTTGAATTTGATTATACATCAATGAAACTCTTTTAAGATTCTCTGTCCACTCTTCTGCATCTGGCAGTTCTTTCAATCATGCTCCTGCTTTAACCATGACTGGAGAGTTCTCTTGATGTATTTGAATGGCCATGTCCCTGATCAGGTCATGCATCTTGACAGCAGTACCACCATCAATTCTTTCCAATAAGCAGATATTTTCGAGTCTATTAAGAATTGAATGGCCTTTGTCAAATTCTGCCATCCTACTCTTCAACCCTTTTATCACTCCCTCATCAATCAAATAACCTATCAATTCCACTCTAGGGATCTTAAAGTCTTCTGGAAATAATGCACAATACAAGAAACATTGCTGCAGAGCTGAATCACTTAGGTGGGTATAACTGAATCTCAATATCCGGAATACCTCCTCTTCCATGTCATCTTGCCTAACTGTTGATTGTCTCAGGTCCTCTAAAGCATCCCTCCACTCGCGAATGTCATCCACCCCCTTCATGGTTCCAGCCATTGTTATAATTCCTAGTGGCAAACCATCACACTCCTTTGTGATCGACTTTGCAATTTGCTCCACTTCTGAAGAAAGTGATATGTCATGTCCAAGTCTCTCAATAAACAATGTCCAAGCTTCTTCCTCTGAAATAGGCTTCACTTTGATTCTTTGTTGGGTAGCCATCTGTTGACAAACCTTTTTCGATCGAGTTGTAAGAATCAGCTTGCATCCCTTAGCCTGGATAGGTATTCCCAGCTTTTGTAGCTCAAAAGCCTTCCACAAATCATCTAAAACTAAAACCCATTTTTGTTTCTTCATTAATTGTCTTGACAATTGTATCGCTCTAAACAACTCCTCTTCTTCATTAGAAAGAACTACACCAATACGTCTCGCGATACTATTTTGCAATCTATTAATGCTGGTATCTTGTGAAACAGTAATCCAGTAAACATGACAGAAAGTGTCCGGTCTTTCTAGAAGCTGATTATATATATGTGTTGCCAATGTTGTCTTACCCACTCCGCCCATCCCATAAATGCCGACACTTGAAACTTCATCTTGCATCAACCAAGACCAGATGGTCTTCTTATGGTCTTCGAATGCTTGACCCACCAGCTTCGTCGTCATTGGTAGTGCATCGCCTTTAATCTCATTTATGTTGCATGTAAACCCTCCAGAAGATACAGCTCCTGCACCAGGCTGCGCAGATCCTCCAGTCCCATTCTCTAGATCATCCTCCATTAACAAATTACAAATCTCACGCCAACTTCTTTCAATTGCATGACCCATTATATATGGTGCTTGCATCCTTCCTGCACCTCCTGCCAAATTGCCGACTTCATTGCTTTGTTCTTGTTGACTAGTTGAAGTGGCATGATCATTTACATTGCTTGAACTTGCTATGCTTTTATGTCTTTTTTTGCCACCATGCATAGCTAGAAAGGCTTCTTCTTGAACTTGTTTAGGCACTTGTCCACAGATTGCAACACCATGGCCCTTCTCTCCTGATAAATGCCATTTGATCCTCGAAATGGAAGTATCCTTAGTAAATGGATGCCCACAAAACTGACAGTTCAGTCTGCCATCATTCATCTTTACAACATGATTCCAAAATAGATCAATATTTGAGCCAGCCATTTTTTACTCCTTTTCCCTGATCAGTGGCTCTGCAGAAAAGAAAAAATTGTTTTATAAATTTAAAGTAAAAGAATATTCATATATTGCAATGTCATTAACATTATTGATTTCTCTATCATTTTCTTTAACTTCATCTATAATTATTTGGATACTCATTTTCAATAATTTAGTTTTTCCTATTTCTTCAACACAATGATAATAATGTACAAAATATTTATAACAAAATTTTACAATGTCATTATCCTTTTATGATATACATGTAAATGAATTTATTTATTCATATAAAACATCGATGTACAATATATATGTTTCGTATTTTCATAACAACACCTAAAATTATTATATTAATATCTTTGATGTTAAATCTTTGATTTGAGAATAATCTTAACGTTTTGTCGTAAACATTATGGCTTACAAGCATTGTTCGTTTTATAGTTAAATTAGTGCCTAAAAGCTTAAAGCAATATTTCATCTCAAAATACTAAAATTATACTTAGCAATATTATTCTTAGCAATCACTTTCAAGTATTAAATTAAAATTTCTTATGTTAAATTAAAAATATCCTATTTATATTAAACCTCAATATTCATACAAAAATCTATTGTCTAATTGATATGTTGATATTATATGGTTGTAAAAAGTTTTTGAATATAAGTGTTTCAATTAATATTTATGCTACACGATTTCTATTTTAACTCTTCATAAATCTACTCAGCAATTTAACAAATACTTTAAAACAATCCATGAATTTTATGGAAAAATTAACTCCTAATCACAAAAATAAGAAGAAAACAAAATTATGTTGAAAAAAAGGAAAGAAGGAACTACCATCACCACCGTTTTTTATTTGTATAGGAGTTGCTTTCCTAATTTAATTTAGATTTTATTTTTCCATATCTATCTAAACATGGTAAAACAATAAAATTATTATTAAATATGTGAAGCAATTAAAAAACAAAAAAAATTAATTTGCAAATTATTTCTTTTTAATGTGTACTGATCTCGACAATTATAACGATGGGTATAGTAGAAATACAACTAAATTCAAAAAACGGCGGACGCAACCCCTTTAGAGAATAAAATGATGATATAAAAATAATAGAATGAATTACCCACTTAGTTATATTTCTTCAACAACAAATTGCAATCAATTGAATTGTTTTACTGGAAAGAATCAATCAATAAAAATAGACATAAAAATGGTAAAAAGGGATTTATAGTTTACCTGCAAAAAGCAGTTCTCCAAGCGCATAGATTTGCTTAAGTAATCAGTAAAGAACAGGGAGGTGAGAGAGAAGACAAAGGTGAGGAGGGAAAGAAAATGAATTAATTAATTAAGTAATGGAAGAGTAGAGAGTGTGGAAGAGATCGAATGTTCGCTTAGTGATCAGAGACGAATAAAGAACTAAGAGCACAGAGGGAAGAATGAATGGCCCAAGAAAATATTTATAATAGAGGTGAATAAATCTTTTTTTTTTTGTTTTTTGCAACATTAGTCAACATTAGCCAATCACGCTAACGCGTCGTG